GCATATTAAGAATTGAACCTGGAACATTTTTTACTAGCTCAAGGTTGACTCGGCTTTCCATCCTTCCGAAGTGGGTCAAATGAGGACCCAGATTGTTGGGGGCAAGAGGCTGACTCTGTAAACCTCTTAGAGAGGACTGTGAAGCACTGTGAAGTGGTATATAAGTCTAAGGGCTTATTGCTATTGCAGGAAAACTCTACCCACTGCCAGGAGTTTGATTCTGACCGGCTCAAGGTTGACTCGGCCTTCCATCCTTCCGAAGTGGGTAAAATGAGGACCCAGATTGTTGGAGGCAAGAGGCTGACTCTGTAAACCGTTCAGAGAGGGCTTTATGAAGTGGTATATAAGTCTAAGGGCTATTGCTATTTGCTGTTTGAAGCAAATGCAAAAAAAGAGGGTGTCCCATTTAAGAAAAGCCTCCCTCCCTCCCTCCCTCCCTTCCTCCTCTCTCTTTTCTTCTTTATCCTTCTTCCTTCCTTTTCTTCCTCCCTCCCTCTCCTCTTTCTCTTCTTCTTTACCCTTCTTCCTTTCTTTCCTTTCTTCTTCCTTGCCTCCTCTTTTTTTCTTCTTTTTTCTTCTTCCTCCCTCCCTCTCCTCTTTCTCTTCTTCTTTACCCTTCTTCCTTTCCTTCCTTCCTTCCTTTCTTCTTCCTTCTTGCCTCATCTTTCTTTTCTTCTTTATTCTTCCTTCCTCCCTCTCCTCTTTCTCTTCTTTACCCTTCTTCCTTTCCTCCCTCCCTCCCTCTTCTCTTTTTCTTCTTCTTTACCCTTCTTCCTTCCTTTCCTTCCTTCCTCCCTCCCTCCCTCCCTCTTTCTATATCCCGCTCTCCTTTCCCCCCTCCTTTGGGAGAACACAGTATAGCTGGTAAACTTGGCAAGAAAGATGAGCCGAAACATTCTGTTGCCCCAGGACTCTAGAAAAATACTTCAAACTTTGGCAACTTTTGAACTGGGTGGACTTCAACTCCCAGAATTCCTTAGCTGGCTGGAGAATTCTGGGAGTTGACGTTGTCATAGCTCAAAACTGCCAAGGTTGAGAAACTGTGCTCTGGGAGGAGAAAGCTGTGGTCAAGGGGGACTTTCAAAGGTGGGGGGGGGATCTTGCCCACCCCAAAGAGGTCAGACCAAGATGTGTAAATGCAACCTGCCCCATGTAGGAGGATGGCTCAGCAAAACCACGATGGGTGAGGATTATGGGTCTTGTGCTTCAACTTTAATAAGATTTCAACTTTAATAAGATTAAAGGCATTGGATGAGACTGACCCAAGTGAGTTTGTTCTAGGTTTTTATGTTTGTTAAAATATATACATATGATGGAACTCAAATCTATTCCATACCTTTATAAAAAATCCCAGCACGGCTACGCCTTTTTCTTTGATTGCTGATTCCACACTGCTAAATTTCTCCTTAATATGGACAATGTGAAGCTGTAAGAAAGTCACAGGTTGGATTAACTCAAGACCCTTTATTATTCAGTCACAATGGGTTAAAAAACACTTTTAATAATAAAGGAGAATATTTGTAGATCAGGGTTGACAAGAGGGGTCCTTGGCGCTCTCTGTGCCTGGTTGTTTTCTCGAAGATGTTTCATTACCCAACTAGGTAACATCATCAGTGCTAGAAGGGAGTGGGGCTTGCGGAGAGAAGGAAGAGGAGGAGGAGGAGGAGGAGGAGGAGGAGGAAAAAGACTGTGGAGTCCTTGGTGCTCTCTGAGCTTGGTTGTTTTCTTGCAGACATTTCATGACCCAACTAGGTAACACCATCAGTGCTAGAAGGGAGTGGAGTTTGTAACATCCCCACAACACACAATCAAAATTTGGGCACTTGGCAACCGGCCTGAATTTACAACAATTGAAGCACCCTGAGGTCATGGGGACCGCATTTCTGACCCTCCCAGCTGTTTTCCACCAATCAATGTCAATACGGGAAGGCAGCTTCATTTAACGACTGCATGATTTACTTAATGACTGTGGCATTTCCCTTAATGGGGTGGGGGAAAGGTAGTAAAATCAGGAACAACTCAAGTAGCAGGTGTCTTGTTTAGCAATGGAAAATTCCGGTTCTTATTGTAATCATAGGTTGAGGATTCCCTATAATTATATTTTCACACACATACGAACGAACACACATACTTATATGATTATATAATTATATATGAAGAGACAGACATGACGATCTCTGGAACTTAAAATATATTATCCACTTAGCTTTCATTAGCTTCTGCTAGCATCCTCAGAGTGTAAAAACTACCATTGAAGAGATATCTGCCTTTATACATCCTTGATCAATTTAGCCATTGCGTGTGTAATGTATAAAGGCAAATATTTCTTCAATGGTAGTTTTTACACTCTGTCAATGTTAGCAGATATATATATCACACACACACAGACACAGACACACACACACAGACACACACATATATTTATATAAAATGTTTCCTGATGCTAGATTTTGAAGATGAATGTTTCTGGGTGCTTTTACCTCCATGGGGTACCTCTCTCCATCGATGCTGTGTTCAGATCCAGGACTCCGTGTCTTCCCCACCTGGCTTCCCCAGTGGAAATGAAACTGTACCGCCTTGTATTTCCCGTTCAGACCCCCACTCTCCACCTTCCCAGACTCATCCAGCAGGACGATGACTGCCGAGAAAAAAATTGATTCAGTACAGCCTAGTCCAGGGACAGGGGTGAGTTTCAAATTTTTTTACTACTGATTCTGTGGGCGTGGCTTGGTGGACATGGCAGGGAAGGATACTGCAAAATTTCCATTCCCTCCCCACTCCAGGGGAAGGATACTGTAAAATCTCCATTCCCTCTCCACTCCATGGGAAGGATACTGCAAAATCTCCATTCCCTTCCCACTCCAGGGGAAGGATACTGCAAAATCTCCATTCCCTTCCCACTCCAGGGGAAGGATACTGCAAAATCTCCATTCCCTCTCCACTCCAGGGGAAGGATACTGCAAAATCTCCATTCCCTCTCCACTCCAAGGGATGGATACTGCAAGATCTCCATTCCCTTCCCACTCCAGGGGAAGGATACTGCAAAATCTCCATTCCCTTCCCACTCCAGGGGAAGGATACTGCAAAATCTCCATTTCCACTCCACTCCAGGGGAAGTACTGCAAA